GGTGGCCTCCTCTGTCTTAAACATGGTGCAGCAACTTCCAGAAAGCTGGCACACCTGCGATTTTCAGAGAGGCCCCCATGGCATTTCCGAAACATAATGCAAAATGCCTTCTAAGGGTTTTGCAAAGCCCACCTAGGAGGTGCAGCAAGATTAAGTTCATCTTTTCTTTCCAGAAGGAAACATGGTCCAGAAAGAGAAAGGATGTGCCTAGCTTAGCATCTCTCCTGGCCATCCTAACGTGTCTGGGGTCTGCGGGGCTCTCCCCACCGCAGCAGATGCAGAATTGAAAAAAAGTGGAGAAACTCGGCGTGCCAGGAGAGATGACTAATATCTAAAAGAGAGGCGAGGGGACGGGAGCGGCAAGCTGATTGCAGGACCTCCTGGGAAACTCAGGGGCCTAGGGCATTTCCGATCCCAGAAGGGAGAGCCGCCGCCCCGCCCCCCCAATCCCTCCTTCTTTCTCCCCTCTGTTTGGTTTGGCAAAGCTGCAGGGCTGTCCGTGGGGCCCCAGAGCCCACCCCCGTGGGGGCTGACCTTGATGGACAAATCTTTCTTTGTCAGAAGGGCCCTCCTCCTCCTGGTGAAACCACCTTTATTCTGGATATATAGGTCTGCTCAGAGGGAAATAGCTAATAACCTGGGAAAATGGTCGCTATGCATTGTTGAGGAAAAAAGTAAGTTCCAAAACAGTATTGTGATATGATCTTGTTTTGAAAGACAAAGCAAACCAAACATTCCACACACAAGCCCAAAGGGAAAAGACCACAAGGATACACACCAAACTATATTATTGGGTTACTGGATTAGAGGTGGTTTTAATTTTAATCATCGTATCTGTTCCAAAGTATTTTCTACAGTAAATGTGTTTTTCTCCAACAAGAAAAATGATAAATGCTATTTTTAAAAGGAATGGGGCCAGCCTAGTGGCTCCGCTGTTAAATGCGCACAGTTCAGCTTCAGCCACCCAGGGTTCGCTGGTTCGGATCCCAGGTGCGGCCATGGCACTGCTTGTCAAGCCATGCTGTGACAGGCATTCCACATATAAAGTAGAGGAAGATGGGCAGGGATGTTAGCTCAGGGCCAGTCTTCCTCAGCAAAAAGAGGAGGGTTGGCAGCAGATGTTAGTTCAGGGCTAATCTTCCCCCCCAAAAAAAGTAAATAAAAATAAAAGGAACGTATCATAGCACCAGTGGGAAGAGAGTCAGTGGATGGATCCTGTGCAGGACTTTGCTCCCTTTGTGACCACAACAGTCACCCAGGAAGTAAAGTGTGTGACGTCTGCGTAATGTTCCAGGATGCGGCTGTAATTAAGCAGTTTATATCCCCGCGAGGAACTCACTCTCCCTATCTGGACAAGTTCTATTCAGCAGAGCTGTAGGTGGGTCCCTAACAATATGACTTGATAAAAGGTAAAAGATCCTACATGCCTCACGCTGTACTCTGGAAATTCCCTTTTGGTGAAAGCGTTGTTGGTGTCTGAGACAAGAGACACTCAGCTCGAAGGCACAGACACGTCTGCTTTGAGCTATGACCGCAGAGACTCACTTAGGAAGCATCTTGCCCAGAGGCCCAAACCCGGCTGAGGCGGCCCACTGGGGGCACAGCATGGAGGCAGGGAGACCAAGGAAAAGACACATAGATATATTTTTGAGAGCTCATTGTTTTTCCTCTCAAAGGCCAAACCTGGAATGACCATCCTCATTCCAGTGGCCAGGGGAGGCAAGGAAATGCCCTCTCACTGGGTGCCCAGGAAGGGGAGATAGAGACACAGAGCATCGTCTCTGCCACTGGCTCCTTCAAGGCTCCGCTGCACCTCCCCCTCCACCTGCAGCCCTCAGCGGTCCCTCCATGGTCCTCCCCCTCCCCCTGCAGCCCTCAGCAGTCCCTCCATGGTCCTCCCCCTCCACCTGCAGCCCTCAGCGGTCCCTCCATGGTCCTCAACCTTCCTCTAGCATTTCCTCTGTGTACTGTCCATCTCGTGACTTTTTAGAGGATGCACTCTGTCTCCCAACAGGACAGAAGCTCTTTGTCTTCACCTCTTTTCTCTCCAGTGCCTAGCACAGGGCTCAGAGGGAGTTGCACACAGCCGTACATGGCCAGGAGGGCACTTAGATGCTCAGAAGTATGTGACCTGTGCTGTCCTTGCAGATTACTAAGAACAGTTACATGCATGGAATCCCAAAGTTAACAAGCAGTTGGACTGGATACACAGAAGGGAGAGAATCCAAAGCCAAGGTCAACTGCTTGTCAATTTGGTCAATAGAGAGGCGGCTTTCCAAAGAGAGACCCTGGAAGTCCAGCTGGCTGTCTTCAGGAACTTATGCCCTGGAATCGATGGGTGGTGGTAATACTATCAGTGCTACCACCCCCAGTGGTTCCCTATTTCCATCAGAGGAAAAGCTCAGTCCGTGCAATGACCTGGAAGTTCCAACAACCTGAGCTAAAATAGGCTTATTCCAGAATATCTTTAATTTTTTTTAATTTAAAAATTTGTAAAATTTTTTACCTAGACTATTCATTTTCTTTTTACTATATTATGTGTAAAAATAATATATAGGCATAGCAGAAAATTTGGAAAATACAGAAAAATTAAAAGAAGAAAATGAAAGTAATTCATAGTCTCATTACTTAGTGATAAAGACCTTGAACATTTTGGAGAATTTATTTCATTTTTATTCTTTACATCAAGGGAGTTTATTTTCTAAGGAGTCTTTCCCCCAAGCAGCCAGACCTATTATTTTCAAACTCTGTCTCAAGCCTGACAGTGGATGCATTTGCAGATTTTTATGTAGTCAACTTAAATTAGAATAAGAAAAATCCATAAGGTGATTCCTAAGTGTATTCTCAGAAATCCATGGATATTCCCAAAATGTCTAACATGCTTTAAAAATGCTCTAGCCGTTGGTAGATTTTCTGAACACATGTAAACTGTTCTCCTTTTCCCCTCGTATGCAGCGGCACCAATAATCATGTCTCACAATGATGCTCCGAGAACAGTAAGGCGTGGAGGAGGGCTGCCGATGCTTCTATAAATAAGAACAGTCGTGGGATTCAGCGGAGAGATGCCAGGCAGTTACAGCGATTATACAAAAACAAGGAATATTCATGTTGGTTTGTTGGAAGCTATTCTATCATTTCGGGAAACTGTGATGTCGTTATTAACAGCACAGACTTTGTGATCAGCCAATCCTGGCTTTTCTACTTGTAATCTGAGTGACCTTTTGATATTACTTAACCTCTTTAAGTCTCAGTTTGCTCATCTGAAACATGAGAATAATAATAGGTATCCTGCAGAATTGTTCATTTATTCAACAAGCATTCGCTCAATACCAACTATTCAACAAATATTTATTCAATACTGTTCTAGTCTTTGGGGTGCAGTAATGACTAAGAGAAAGTCTCGGTTCTCTTGGAACCTGCAGTGATAGCTCCGTAAGTGGTAATGAGCAAAATAATCACCTCTATCATCGCCACCACCATCAACATCATCAACATCATCATAGTGACATTCCCCCCTGTGTTGACTGATCTAAGAACATCGGTTAGCTCAGAGCAGTGCATTTTTTTAATTAAGCTTTTTGAGGTCCTTATAGATTCACATGGACTTGTAAGCAATAATACAGAAAGATCTTGTGTACTCTACCCAGTTCTGCAAAGGTAACATCTTACAAAGCTAGAGTACAGTATCACAACAGGATATTGACATGGATACAATCTACCAATCGTTTTCAGATTTCTCCAGTTTTCCTGTTTTGTGGATGTGTGTGTGTATGTAGTTCTACGCAATTTTATCATGTCTCCACCACCACAGTCAAGACACAGCACAGATCCATCTCCACAAGGATTCCTCCTTTTGCTCTTTTATAACCATATCCCCCTCCCATCCCCGACATGGTCCAACCTCTGGCAACTAATCTGTTCTCCATTTCTAGAATTTTGTCATTTCAAGAATGGTATATAAATGAGGCCATAGAGTATGTAATCGTTGGAGATTGGCATTTTTCACTCAGCGTAATTCTCCGGAAATTCATCCAAGCTGTTGCAGGGATCAATAGTTCGTACCTTGTTATCCCTGAGTAATACTGCACGATATGGCTGTACCACAGTGTGTGTAACCCTTCACCTGGTGAAGGACCTTTGAGTTGTTTCCAGTTTTTGACTACCATGAATAAAGCCTCTGGAACATTCTCATATAGATTTTTGTACGAATAGAGTTTTCATTTCAAATGTGATGTTTTCTCCATTATAATTGACTTTTTTTGAATATAGTATGCCTTTTCACTATATGGATTCAAGTGTCTTTTTACTTCATGAAAGATTACTTGAATTAGCATTTGTTCTGGTCTATTGGTTTGGTTTCCTTCTTCAGGAACTCCAATTATATGTTGTTGGGTTTTCTTTGCCTATTTTCTACATTTCTCTTTTTAAAAATCCTTTTTTTTCTTTATTTCTGTTTGATTTTTTAAATTTCCTCCTTTCTAATCTCAGTTTCCCTTGCTATGCTTTCTGTGGTGTCTGCTCTCGTGTAACTTGTAGCTCAGTCTTAATTCATAACATTATTTTCTAATTTTTTCTGAGCTTTCTCAGCTCTCGTTTGACACCTCCCTGTTGTTTAGCTGTCTCATTTCTGAACTTTCATATATCCTATTTGTGCTGTGTTTCTGCAACTTCTTACAGTTTAAAAAATTATTTTGAGTTCATTTTATATTAGGAAACATTTTTTTATCTACTTTGTGGCCAAAGCTTATGCCTTCTTATCTGTTGATACAGTATTCAGTTTATTGTTCTCTTTTTCCTTATTTTTATGTGGGGTTTGGGTTACATTTCTTTTCAATGTTTATACTTATGTAAAATTACTTTTCTTTTCGTTTTAAAACAACATCCTCACATAGGGAGCAGGGGAAATACCAAGGAAGCTTTCTGGCTCGAAGGCTCCCTTCTCTATTGTCATTTCAATGTGTTACATTCCACTGTATTGCATTCTGTGGATTCACCTCCACGTTATGAGATCTTCTTCTTGTGTCCCTTCCCTCTGTCTACACCCAGTGTGCTGTCCTGATCAATTTAGATCCTACTACCAGAAGACTTTACTCAGGGTAGGTCTTTTTCCTGCTGGGAGTTTTTCTCGAGTATTTCTGATGTCCTTGAAGACCTACGTCACTCCCGTGTCCTCTCAGAGTGGAGTCCTCTCTGGGAGGGGAGCTTTTATTGGTCTGTGTTCTAAGGCCCTCAGCAGTGACTCTAAAGCTCCCTAGTTACGCCAGCTTGCAAGACGAGATTGAGTGCAGCTCTTCCGAAACCTGCAGGCAGTGACGTGAACTACGGTGGAAGTATTCATACCCTGAAAATCAGCAAACACTACAAGTCAGGTTGGTTTCGGAGTGTGGCTTTTTGTTTATTTGCTTTAGTTTTTGGTTTTGTTTTTGGACAGCTAATTCACCAGCACATCCCTGGCTCCTGCACCACGAGAACTCTCCTCCCCCTTCTCTTCAATTCCTTACACAGTTGCTAACCCTCCCAGGCTGGCAAGCACGCTTGGCTGATAGGGGTGGTTTGGTCCTACAAACAGTTATTCTGGGGTTCCTAAGTAAACCTTGTCACCTAATTTTATTGAAAATGTCAGAAAATATTATTTCAATGTTGCTAGCCTATTGCTATGGGAATTTGGGAAGATTTATAATGGCCTTGCCCTAACTGAGAGCTCTCAGAAATACTTTCTAACGTTGTTGGTAATAACAACGCTCATACATTTTCATCTCTTTTTAGTAGCACTTTACAGTTCACATAAAGTTTACGTGTAATCCCCTTATGAGATAGGGAGAATACGGATAATTTCAATTTGTAGGTGACGAAATTGAGGCTTACACAAGTCAAATGTTTTGTTCATTTACAACCAACAAGTGGCAGAGCTTGAGTTTGAACTTGGGTTTTCTAATTCAAATCTATCGATCTATATTAAAATGTAGGGGCCAGCCCAGTGGTGTAGTGGTTAAATTCACATGCTTCACTTTGGCGGCCCAGGGTTCACGGGTTTGGATCCTGGGCACAGACCTGGCACTGCTCATCAAGCCATGCTGTGGTGGCGTCCCACATAAAACAGGGGAAGATGGGCATGGACCTTACTTAGCTCAGGGCCCATCTTCCTCACATACACACACAAAGTAAATATATATTTGCTAAAAATTGAGCTAATATGTTGTCAAAATCTAGGGCAGTATCAGATCTTTGACCACTCAGGGAGTAAACATCCAAATATTTGACTGAATTGCTTCATTGGTCATCCTTGCACTGAAACAACCTCTCTTTTTAGTTTCTCCATTTCTGAAAATTGTACTGCACTCTCCAGGCGCTCAGGCTTAAAACTGGGAGGACGGGCAAAGCAGTGGTCCCTCCACATGTAATTCAGGAATGCCAGAAAGCCATCTTTCCTTTTCCTCATGCTTCTCTACAATATTCCTCCTGGTTCACTGAGGCCTGAAATTCCATAATTTATTGCTTTGGCTTAAAGCCAGGAGGAGGGAAAGGACGTAAATTTCTTCTTTTCTAATGCTGACTATGTGCCAGGTACAATCTTATTTATTCTCCACATCAGTCTTATGCATTGCACTTTGATAAATGAGGGAACTGAAGCTCAGAAAAGCTAAGAAATTTTTTCAGGGTCACAAAGCGGGTAAATAGAAGAGATCATAACTGAACCCAAGTTGGGTTGACTCTGAAATCTGTGATTTATCTACTACTCTAGGCTAATATTTATGTGAGCCTAGCACTGTATTAAATATTTGTCTTATTAGATATATATTCTCAGAGTAAATAAGTCTGTCAGTGTAGAACCTGACGAAGGTACCCCACCCTTACCTCCTACACATTAGCGTTGTAGTGCATCTATAGGACTTCTGACGCCTGAGGTCTTTCTTTGGCCCCAGAGCTTGTCTCCCCGAAAATGCTTTTATGGTAGACTAAAAATACAGGAGAATTAACTCCCTCAGCTCAACCCCAGCAATCTTCAACCAATGCCTGATAGGAATGGTGTACAAAAGCTGCAGCTCCCTTGCCCCTTGGGTGGGATGACCCTACACTGGGATTAAGCTCCAGTGGTCCACAGAGTGATACGCTTGATAATATACCCTTTATTGGCTTCCACCCTTTCCCCGTCTCAGTTCCCAGCTTCCAGATGGATGTTTCCAGGGATCCTTTCCAAAATAAACTGCTTGCACTTGAATCCTTGTCTCAGGGTTCTCAGGGACTGCTTCTTTGGAACCCCAGACTGAGGCAGTCAGCAACAGTCCTAAAGATAAATTTTCATAAGGAGAAGAATCAGCAGACTTTGAGATCATCAGATATTAGAGGGAACAGAAGAAGCATGCCAGCTCTCCTTTGTTCCCAAACACTTGTTATTAAGTCAGCTGTCTATTCCTTATCTCATGAGCTACAGCCAGGGAGAGGGAGTCAGATGTTTGGCTACGGCAGTTCCGGGGAATAGAGACAGGGCAGTGGAGAGAACGGATAAAATGTCCAGCCCCTATGCAGGCTATATTCTAGTGACTGCCAGGAGAGTTAAAAAAAGAACCAAATAGATCTCCTGGAATTAAATAATGCATAGGTGCATTATTTATGCATTATTTATTCATTAATAAATGCACAAATAATCTGAAATAAAACATTTCTTGGATACTCTTAACAGCAGAAGAAAGGATCAGTGAATTTGAAGACAGATGGATAGAAATCATTCAAGCTGAAGCAAATACAATACAAAGACTTTTAAAAAATGAACTTGTGCATCAGTATCGAACATGGAGTCCCAGAAGAAGAGGAGAGAGAGAATATGGCAGAACAGTTATTTAAAGAACACAACGGCCCCCAAATTTCCAAATTTGGTAAAAAGTGTTTCAATCTGTAGACCCGAGAAGCTCAGCAGATCCCAAGCAGGATAAATTCAAAGAAAACTACTATTAGGCAAATCTTCAGCAAACTGCTAAAAACCACAGATAAGCAGTTAAAGAAAAAAGACACATTATATATAGGAGAACAAGGGGGCAGAAGACAATGGGAAAACATCTTTAAAATGCTTGTGGGGGGAAAATACCTGTCAACTTAGAATTACATGTCCAGTAAAAATATCCTGAATCCCCCACAATGAAGCTAAATGAGTTATCTGGGTCATCTGATCTATGACACACTGGTTTGGATGGTTTAGGCTGCTCCAAAAAGTGTCGTATGGACAGAGATGAGGGATTCTGGAGCCGGCCTGCCTGAGTCCAGTTCCTGACTCTAGTATTCACTAGCTGAGCGAACTTGGGCAGGCTCCTTAACTTCTCTCTGCCTCATTTGATCATTTGTAAATGAGAGTAATAGTAATAATGTCCACTTCACATCATTATTGTAAGGATTAAGTGAATTATTTAATTACCAACTATTGGGGTTTTCCAGATATCTGTCTTTCTGTTATTGGTTTCTAATTTAATTCCATTATGATCCAAGAACATATTTTGTATGACTTCAATTCTTTTAAATTATAAAGGTTTGTTTAATGACCCAGGATAGAGACTATCTTGGTGATATTTCACATGCAGTTGAAAAAAAATGTGTATTTTGTTGTTGTTGGGTAAAGTGGTCTATAAACGTCAAATTGGGTCCACTGATTGATGGTGTTGTTCAATTCTTCTAAATCCCTGCTGGTTTGCTGACTACTAGTTGTCTCTGTTACTGAGAGAGGCATGTTAAAGTCCCCAACTAAAATTGTGCGTTTGTTCAAGTCTCCTTTACGTTCTGTCAGTTTTTGCTTCATGTATTTTGAAGTTCTCTTGGTAGGTGCATATTTGTTCAACCACACCATTGCATGTGAGCTGTGATTTGAAAGATGAGATGAAATTTAAAATATGCCAAAGCCAGAAAGAGAATTCCAGGAAATAGGAGTAACTATTGCAAAGGCACCAATGAGTGGTGTGACATGGTCACTGAATGAATGACAGGCACCATGCTGCTAGAGTAGAAGACGATCAGCAGGGAATCAGCAATGAGCCATAAAATTCTCTATATTTTGTTTTGCCAGTTTTTGACCCAAATTATCCACAATGAAGCTAGGTGAATTATCTGAATCATTTACTCTATGAAAACAACTGATTTGGATAATTCAGACTCCAGAGTGTATCATATGGGCAGTAGACCCTGATTCTGGAACCGTCTGCCTGAGTCCGATTTCTTACTCCAACTTTTAGCTGAGTGAACTTGAGCAAGTTCCTTAATTTCTTTCTGCCTCATTTTCTCATCTGTAACAACAGAGCTTTGAAATACATGAAAATTTCCTTATCGAATAACAATAATACCCACCTCAGATGGTTATTGTAAAGATTGAGTTGACCATGCAAAATGCTTAGAATGGTGTCTGAAGTGGTAATCACTCAACAGCCCTCTGTGGATTTCAAAAGCAACTGTGTGACATAATTAAATGAACCAGGCAGACTAGGACCCTGTGTTAGTTTCCTGGGGCTGCCAGAACTAAGTACCACAAACTGAATGGCTTTAAACCACAGAAATTTATTCTCTCACCGTTCTGGACGCTAGACGTTTGAAATCAAGATGTTGGCAGAGCCCAGTCTCTCCGAAGGCTTTAGGGGAGGGTCTTCCTCGCCTCTTCTAGCTTCTGGTGGTTGCTGGCAATTCTTAGTGTTCCTTGGCTTGTGTAAGCATGACTGCAATCTCAGCCTTTGCCCTCTCACGGCCCTCTTCCCTCCATGTCTCTGTTTCCCAATGTCCCTCTTCGTATAAGGATAGCAGTCACTAGGGCCCAATAATATAATTCAGCATGGCCTCATCTCAACTAGATTACATCTGCTAATACCCTATTTCAAAATAAGGTCTTTTTACACATTCTGGGAGGACACAAGTTTGGAGGAGACACTATTCAATCTGGTAGAGACCACAGCTGTCCCCACCTCTTCACAATTTGCTCTGGACAGCCACGCTTCTATTTGTCTCTAAGCCCTTTGCACAGAACATTTCCAAACCTCCTTGCTTCCTTTTCACCCTTTTAAAGTCAAATAGACTGATTGCAGCTGTGCTTTTCGTGTAGTCCTAGGCCGTCAGTTGTCTGTCCCAGAGGCCTGTGAGGAGGTTTGAAGTCTGCCGTGCTCTCTGGTACTCAGGATGGCACTTCAGACTTTATCTGCTTTCTTTCCCCTTACTGTTATTAGCTGTCACTGCTTGCTGAGGTTAGCGTTGTGTTTGTGTAAACCCTCTCTCACTTCTAAAGTCTGTGAGGTGGAAAGCCAGAACTTCAAGTTTGCTATAACTGTAGAATTTCACCTTAAACAGCCTTAATAACAGACCAAGGAGCTTCCCTTGAATAGAGTGACTAATACTGAATGCAAATGTTGCTTGCAGCACACACAGAAAGAAGCCCGAATTCTAAAGGTTTGCTGACTTGGAACCTGTTGACAAAGCTTGAACTCAATGAGACAATATGATAACTCCTTTAGACAGGAATATAAACAATTCTAGGTATTGATATTGATTTCTTGTTCCTCGTAGTTAGGGATTGGCTGGTAACATTTCAGCCTTGCAGCTCAGGGCCTAGTCCCTGTCCCGGCCTTCCAGAGGGTCTGTCCTCTTTGCATTGTCCCTGTGCTCCTGGCTCTACTTTTCTGCATTGAATCCTTCCTTTCTCTTGAAGGTTCATATCACTTAAGGACGGCTGCATGCACTTGTTCAAAGCAAAGTCTTGAAGTATACAAACTTCATGAGTCGATTTGTTTAGAAGATTTTACTTCCCTCCAACATACGCTACAAAATGTGGGCTGCCTGCCTTGCGGGTTCATAGGCTACATAAGGTTCTGTCTGTCCATCTGTCTGCTTCTCTGTCCCTCTCTCTCTCACCCAAGGTCTTTTTTTTCCTACACCTGTGATCTCCATCACGAGGCCCCTTTTCTGCTCTCCTGATTCCACTTAGCATTTGCTACATCCTTGGACTGTAGATGAGTGAGGCGCTATGTATTTACTTAGTCTGCTAACGTGTAGGAGCTCAAGTGATAATGGAACGCACAGTTCTATTGCCGAGCCTCAGATTCCCAAGTCCATTAACCTCTGGCCCCTTTTCTGCTGGGATTCAACAAAGGAGTCAAAAGTTCAACTCGAGGGGAGGAGGAAATCGACTGTATAAATGCAGATTCCTCTAGGCATTAAAACGCAGGCTCAAATAACGACCCCACTGTGTCCTGCAACCGTTTCTTCTGAGAAGAGGGCCCGTAGACTGTTTTCATGGAGCTTAGTTGTAGACACTTTGCCGTTAAATCCAGTTTTGCAGGTAGAGGCCCAGCTCTGGGTGAAACTATAGTCAAGGGCAAGTTTGACTTTGCTGCCTTCCGAGCTCCCATTTGACTCCTCCTCCTCCTTGACAGTCCCTTCTCTGCCCAGGCCCCCCCGTCCCCCAACTGGGACTCACTCCCTTAGGCAGTGGCTCACACTCCAGAATTTCCCATTTCTAAAAGCGTGGGGCCTGTCCTATGCTCTCTTTCCTCGCGGTTGAGCTGGACACTGACGAGCAGCAGGGAAACCTGGAATTTTCAAGCTGAGAACTCTAGGGGTAAATTAGATGGATTAATTCTAGTTAAGAGTGAGATAAGGGATATACATATATATACACACACAGATACAATATAAGTATAATATAATACAGCGGCGTTCCGGGGGGAGTCCTCCCAATTACTCCATATCCGAAGTTTACTATCTCAAAAAGACCCACCCGGTAAATGACACGCAGCTGAAATTATTGTATCTCTTGGGTTCAATGAGCTGAACCCAAGACATAACATCATACCAAATAGGAGGGATTAGTGAGTCATTATCTTTCTCAGGAATTTTTGCTCTGAGAGTTCACTCTTTAATTATGAGGTCACGAGGTTCTCTCAAATCTTGGCATTTAGAATTTTTTTTAAATTGAAGTGACATACAGTATTATATTAGTTTCAGGTGTACAACATAGCAATTTGTCATTTTTATACATTATGAAATGATTCAGAATTTTTTTCAATTAAAATTTTTATTTTGAGATAATGAGACAATCTCATGCAGTTGTAAGAAATGCATTCAATACTTTTATTTCAGGTAGTAATTTCATAGGATCTGACGTTCTGTAGCCATGTTCAATATATAATGATTGATGGCTAGATTGATCAAATAACTGTAATTCGTGCCTTATGAGAGGCCTCTTGAGGGAAAGGTGTTTGCTAATTATTGGGCCCAGGGATAGAAAGTAAATTTCCTGGACCATTCGGTGGCTTTGTAATTGTTTTGTTTCTTATGCGTTTCTCGTTTTTTAAGGTATTTTAATTTGTTTTTTATGCATACAATAGGGGCTTAGTCTCATTATGTTTTGCTATTGTTAATTAGTGAATGTGATGAAATCTAACTTATCACATGCTGGTATTTTCTTCATTGAATGGGTCAGGAAGGAGAGTAAACACAGGAGCTCGGTGGCTGGGTGGGGATGAGAACAGTACCTTCCAGAAAGCTGAGAGGCTCCTCTGCCCATGTGCCTCACGGGGGCAGCATGGGTCACGGCTGTTGTTACCACTGCACAAAAGCAACACACTTCCTTTAGGCCCAACTTACCCACAGTGACTTCTATTTATCATTCTTTCATCTCCCTCTACAATCCTGACAGGCAAGTATGCTGCCTCAGGGCTGCCTTGTTGCAGAGTATGACAGCCCACTCTCGGGGAACCAGAAATATTTGGAATTTGAAGTGGATTTAGAACAAAACACACACACACACACACTTTAAGAAACTCAAGTTTGGAACAAGTTGGCCAAGCCTGGCTTCCTTGAAATGCATTTGATAAGCATTGCCTTAAAGCTGACCTCTTAGCAAGTTTCCAGAGAACGATGGTTAGTGTTTTCTTTTTCTTTTTTTTCTTTTAAAGTGATCAAAATTCACTCTGCCAGCTGAGCATGTACCATGGGGTGAGAGCAGGTTGCTTTCTCTGTGGGAGAGAAGTGTTAGAGTGAGGCCCTCTGGGGGAGTTCTGGAGGCTGGCTACAGCTTTGACGAAGGATTAAGCTGAAAGATACATCAAGTCTGAAATACATATTTTACAAGTGGAGGGTGTGGGACAGTGTCCTGGATTCTGTCAGGCATGCACAGAGCATCCTGTCACGCAAGGCCGACGGGGGGTTGAATTTACCGCTCAAATCCCTTTTGAGGCAAGATCTCTCGCTCACTCTCAGGAGCAAAGTCACACAACTTCTCCTAAGACCTGTCCAAACTAAGAAAATTAAATTCTCTAATTGTGAAGAAGGCAGAGAGTAAACTTGCACAAAGAAAGAGTGAAAGAAAGAAATCATTTGGCTAAGTTGTGTGTGGAGGTTGTAAAGCTTCCTCCTTTACAATCTGATAAGGAAATCTTGGAGCAGTCGCAGCAGTGGTTGATCAGATATAGACCAGCGTTCTTGAGGCCATGAGTAGAATGGACTATGAAGGTCAAAGACAGGACCTTGGTCTTAAATCGCCATGTCCTTGGGGGTAGCTACCTGAGTAGGAAGGAGCCGTGGTGGGAGTCAAGGCTGGGGTGTGGGGAAGGTTGGGATTGGGGTCCGGGGTGGAGAAAGAGTAATGCCGGCAGATGCGAAATCAAGCTCTTCAGTC